AAAATTTAATTATCAATTATGCTTGATGTCGTTAGCAAGTAATTGACAGTATGAAAAATGAAGAATGAAAAAATTAAATAAATAAAATATATAAGTTCTCTGCACGGACTCAAGCCTTCTCATGCTAAGTTGCAGCGTCGCCTGTGTTTTCACGTGGGTGTGAATGTGAATGTGAATATGAATGTGGATATGGGTATATGTATATGTTTATTTAGATACCGTTTAGATACTTGATAATTGCCTTTATAACTTCAGCTGTACATATAGCTAAAGACCCTCATATTTCTTAACATGATGTGCACATGCCTTTGACATATGCCTGCCACACTTGCGAGCACTCCCCCGCACTCAAGTTGTTTTAGCAGAAAATTACTATAGGCATATCTATATGCTTTAACATATCCTTTTCTGTTGTTACTTCTTGATTTGTTTAGCAGACAAACAGAGAATAAACAAAAAACAAGCAAGCATTAAACAAACTTTGTACAAATACGCAAAAAGGCAAAGCAACAAAAAGAACTTCTTTCTTCCAAATTAAATTTGAAAAAAATTAAAAAAAAATTGTAGCTAAAATGCGTAAACTGCGCGATAAGCACTAACAAATAATAAGAGGGGCAAAAACAATTCGCAGGATGTAAGGATATGCGGATATGACGACATGAGGATATGAGGTTATACTAAATGCTTGCGCCACGATGAACGCGAAAAAGATGAACGTGCCTTTGTGCTTTGTAGGCAACAAGGAACTTTCCTTCTGACAAGCTCAAAAAGTGAAAAAAGCGATGAAATTCTTTTTCATGTTTATTGATGTGGTTTCAGAAGTGTCATACAAAGCAGGCAGATTTTCGGTTTGTCACACAGCACCGCCGAAAGCAGGAATTAGGCTTAAACACACAAATAAATTTCGTACGCGTATTTACACAAAATTCCTTGCACACACATGTGTACGCTTGCATAGACATGCAGAGACATGCACAAATATCTACTCGTTTAAGCATTTAACAGCCATAAGCGCGGTTTTCTCGGGAGACTTAGCCTTTCCACTAAGACAACTGTTGAGGTGAGAATGCGGCATTGATGCTGCAATGTAACGTCACATCTATGACAACAAACTAGATATTGCTTTAGTCATCAGGTTTCACTAATATTCTAGTTAAGCTGGAGCACATTTTGTATCACGCTGATAATTACTATAACGAATCTGATAAACTGTCTTGGTATACACCTTACTGGTGGTTATACGTCTTACGTCAATATTTTCAAAAATCTTAGAAAACTTGCAAAAATTCAATCGGTCCTGGACCTTAAACATGTAATACTACAAAATTAATTTGGACTTAGACAAAAGCATAGCACAATATCGACAGATACTTAGCATTGTCTCATATGTGAGAAAAGCATTTGGAAACAAACAATACCTCTCTGTGGTTTGTCCTAGCTGTCGTACTGACATTTGAGAACGTTTGCTTAAAAAGTCTTTTGTATGGTTTAAGTCCATAATTCTCGCAGGGCATTTCGTGTGCATGATCGTCAATGTTAGGTAAGAAAGTATATTAGGACAATATACACTAGATACTTACCTACGCAAATTGGACACTTCCACATTCGCTGAGTATTTATACAAATAAAGTAGAGGAAAAGAGTTAATAAAACTAATGGCAATCAAATTAAGTTTACTCTAAAAGGAGGTTAAGCACGGTTTTGATTATCAATGAAAAACCATTCACCAAAAAAATGTTGTCAGTTATATAGGAGTAACACTAGACTGATGATTAGCACGGAAAAATCATGTAGCTAAAAAACTAATACACGCAAAATTAAAAATTATTAGTCCTAAATCAAAAGTAAGACTTCATAATAAAGTGTTTCTATGTAATACAAATATAAAACCATGCTGACCCTATGAGTTGGCGCTATGGGAAACTGCTTCCAACTGCAAAAATTGTAGGCAATAATATTATGCGCCCATACATATCTCTGTCAAATTATGTTTAAAGGCTACTAATTACGTGATAATCAAGTACAGTGTATTGAAAAATAAAATAAAATATTTATTTTAGCTCTAAGACTTGATAAATTGTTAGTTTTCAACTAAAGGATTCGATAAATTAATGTAATACAATAACAAAAAAGTATGCATTTATACTGGATGATTAGTGCAGCGGTGGATTTCTTCAGAAATGTTCCAAATATATCAATGCAAATAACGCTTTTTTAAATAAATACAATTTTATTATTGAATGTACCATATATGGTATATGGGACAGTCTTTTTCCAGTGGAACTGTTTTTGACTTCAAAGTACTCATGTCTCGGAGATACAGATTCTATGGAATACGAACCGATAAGCTTTTGAGAATTAGCATTTTCTACCAATTTTGAAATGGTGATATCTTAGGGTGACTGCTTATATTTTGAGTCTTGGCAACACTGATTGTTGTCAAGTGTGATCTGACATTTCCATACGAAAGTTTGACATTATTTCACATAACCTAACTTAGAATATTTGTCAAAAGAGAGTTATTTGTGTTATTTACAATGATTTGTAAAGTGAATGCATTTATAGCGAGAAAATTTTCATGCGATGTTTTATTACGTTATTACGACTTTTGACGTGGACTACGAGTATCACGGCAGGAGTTCATCTATCAACTTACTTCCAAATTTTGCAATAAAGCTTCTTTCTTTGCTACTGTGAAACACTGTCACTGGTACAATGATTTTAATCCTGGCCGCCGTTCACTCACTGACGAAAATCACGAAACTCGTAAAGGTCGTCCAAAACCAGTTGTTCAGTTGTTGTGCCAGAAAACATTGATGCTGTGCAAAAAGTGATACGAGTAAAGCATGATGAGACATACTATGAGATTGAGATTGAGGTGAAAGTCTAGGCATTAGTTCCATCAGAATGTACTCGTCTGAAATACTGCACGATCACTTATTCGTGAGAAAGGTATCTTCTCATTGGATCCCATTTCCCATTATTTGACAAAATCTCAAAAAGATGATCGTATCGATTAGTGCGATGTACACAAATATTCAAGAAGTACAATGATGATGCTTCAACAAACATATACGATTATAAGCTAGTAACAGGTGACGAATCGTGGACACGCGTATATGCTGTAGCCATATGGCGGTAGGTATGACTGTTTCAAGACGAATCAAACACAACAAAATATTTTCGCGCTCGAAGCACTTCGAAACAAATGGTCGCTTGTTTTTTCGGGAAAACTGATCATGTGGCAACTATACGAGTACCATTACAGGAACGTAAAACGGTCAATTTCGAATGTTATAGAACTATTTGTTACAACCATCCGGAAGTCTTCAGTGAAATACGAAAAACAAACAAACACCGTCGAATCATTCTCCATCTCCATCAAGACAATACGAGTGCTAACACATCTCAACTAACAACTGACTATTTGAACAAAGTTTCTTCTTGTTCTCGAACGTCAAGAATAAACTGCGTGGACAATGACTATTATCGGAGGAAGATTTAAATGCCATGTTGTGAAGGTGTTGTGAAGAAGATTGGAAAAAATGTTCCGACAAATGATTCGAACGCATGCAAAAATAAAGGAGACAAAGGAGAATGTTTCGAGTAGCATTAAAGCAATTTTCAACGAGAAGTCAGTTTTTTTCTTTATTATGTTCAAATAATAAAGAGTGATCCTCTAAACTATATACTTCATGCATATATATACTTTTAAGATAAAGCTATTTTTTTTTTCATAATTTTAAAAACAATTAAAAGTGCTTATATTTGAATACTGTCATTACCCGTTAATTAAAGAAAAATTTTCAAAATATGAACAGGTTTTTTATTTTTATTATTGATTTAGATTCATTACTCAATATTATAAAAAAGTTGCAATTTTCCCGATATGCGTATCATGGCAACTAGGACCTTGTTTAGCTAAAAGTGAATGCGGATAAAAAAATAATCTATATTAGAGCGCGAAACGAAGAATCATTTATTCCTACTTAAGGAAGTCGGTTATTTATTGTCACTCGCTTACTGCTGGCATTGAAAATTAACTGACGTTGTTTTGTGACATTTCCGAATATTAACATATTCTCAGTTCAATATATTTTCCATTTACATATAGAAGGGGAAGGAGGTAGGAGGAGAAATACACATTTGCTGTTCACAAGTTTTCGATAATTTTCGGTGTCTTTAGTAGGCTCAACGCTTACTAATCGCTGATAGACATCAGCTTAGTCCTTCCGCACAGCAATTCACACATTTTCTTCTTTTTGTTTTTTTTATTTATTTTTCATTAGCAGCAATCGACTTTTCGATTGATTCGTAACACATTAAATCAACGAAGCGTATAAGTCCCTTTTATATGCGCCCACAATTATGCTACAAAGTACACACAAAACACAACATACTCTTAACAGTTGTGCATTGTTTCTCTTCTTTCCTTTCCTTTCCTTTTCTTTTCTTCGTCTCCCCATTCGCATTGCCATTCCCATCCCATTTCACTCATCCACTTGATAATACTGGTGTAGCGAATAATTTTGTCATTGGCGTATTGAACATAAATGCTCATAAAATTCTGTAAATATGTCGTTTAAGTGGCTATTATGGCTTTAGACATTTGAAGAGTCATTCACGATTTCCATGTAGGAATGAGCACACAAATGCGCCAGTCAACATTACCACATTACTAATTGATGTAAATTCGATAGCATTATTTTAGGCGCGCACACACACATACACAGGTTATCGCTTAGCGAAGGAAGCGTGCTTAATTAGTACGAGAGCGTTTGCATTGAATGGAGAGTGTGAACGAGTTTCTATGATTTTTACCACAGATTATTTTTAATAAACTAATTTAATTAAATTAAAATGTAATTTCATATAAATTATGTACTGTGTGCCTACGAGAGCGTGTAAATATTGCATAATTAATTAAGTGCTCACTAATTTGTTTATATTAATTTTGACTCTGCTTTTCATTCATTTTGTGTTTGCTTTTGTATTTTTAGATTTGCCCAAGTTCGGTGCACCTCTGCAGAATGTCACTATACCAGTGGGACGTGAAGCGGTACTGCAGTGCGTTGTCGATAATTTACAAACTTATAAGGTAATATATGTCAAATGCTCGTATAAGTTTAATTTATGTGATGTTCGCGTGATGTTCGCGTGATGTTCACGTGTTATTCGCATGATGTTTGAGTGTGCTTGGATTTTGAATTTTTAACACATTAACGCTATTGATGAAAACTTATAAAAATGAAATCAACTTCTATTTTGTTCCAAATAGCCCAATCCACTCATTGTATGCTTTTAGGACGATTTGTGAAAATTTATATATTTAGTGAACTCAAAAGCTACAAGTACATATTGAACTTATAGTTCCCTATTGATAAACGCATTAACACCTTGTTGCGTCCACGTCATAATGGCAGGCGCAATATTTGCATTAGTGAAGTTTTGTCAAAAGTTCCATACGATTGTGAGTTTCAGATAACAAATGTTAGGAAGACGACTTAGCCCACCGTCACTAATATTTAAATTTTTTAACATTAGAACACTATATACAATAGTTTAGCAATGTACAATATGTTACTTTAATGTCCTTTTATTACTAAATTAAAAGTTGAGAAACACAGATGGGTGTGCTATCATATCAGCAATATAATACGAATATACGCTCACTAGACTGTTAAGATCTAGCGGTTTCTCTTAACTAACAACAACGGTGGTATTCTAGAGATTAGATAAAGAATTAACATTGCCAATAGATGATATTATTAGTTCAATAGAAAACTGTAGTATAAAGCTCTCATTCTGAATGCTACAGAAGTTTGGATGCTGCCATATAATGATAATGCAGCAGTAGTACTATTTGAGAGAAAGGCTCTTCCTAAGATCTTTGTTCCCCTTCGAGTTGCCATTGACTACAGCATTTAAATGAAGCTATGTACGCTTCACATTATTGGCATCATTCAGTAAATTACCAAAATGCTGCGATTGTGGCGAACTTCATCCAGCTAACTATCGAGGATGCATTATAGCCAAAGAGCTGAGATGGGACACAAATTCGTTTAGAAAGATAATCAAAATAGTAAGCCAGCCACTGAAAATTGAAAACATTCGACAGTTTCTAAATTAACACAAAAGTATAAAAGCCTTCATATGCCAAAGCCTTGCAGTTGGCACTCAAAATGCTACAAAACCAGAAAAAATTCAATAAAGTTTTAGATGAACGCTTCGTGGTTCATTAGGAATACTGACCTCCATCGGAGCTTGAAGTTTGAATCTGTAGATGCTGTAACACAAAAGTTTGCGGTAAAGCATCAGAAATGGCTACAACAATACCCAAAGGAGACAGCGCACCATCTGTCTAATACATCTGGTCTTTTAAGGAGGCTTGAACGAATTAAGTCTTCAGATCTACTCCCGAATTAGTAATCTAATAATAATTTAGATATCTTCTAAATGAGCACTAAACCTTTTGCAACTTGGCATTTGTAAAATGTGTTGTAAAATATAACAAAACTGCTTGATAGGTCACTGCACTTGAACTAGTCATAGTTAAATGAAACATGTATTTACATTATGAAACATGTATTTACATTATGAAACATGTATTTACATTAATAAAAAAATTTATTAAATTGATATCCACCATCTGCTTCAGCTTGATAATGAGTTATGGCATTTATCCAGCAAAACAGGCGTTTTCTCTAAATCACTCTAAATGATGTCAATCAAAAATAGTATACTTAATCCATGGGAAAGGCAGAGATATTCGATGTTTTAATAAATATTGTGTGCTCTGATTTATGTTCTGCTACTTGAAGTCAATTAAATTTAACACAGCTTATTAAAAAATGTAGAAAGTTTTATTTGATCAATCAATAAAGTCCTGGACATACAGAATTCAAAATAATACACAGTCAGCTCTCCTTAACGTGAGTCTTAATGGCAACGATACGGCCTGTTCCTTATTGCAGTATATGTTTAAACAGAGCATGAGAGAAAGTTCTGCAGCATTAAGGAAGCTGACCAAATTGCTCTTAGTTAGCTGTGTTAGGAAGAAAATAAAGCACCGAAATATGTTGTACAAGACCAATGTAAAGTGACCTAACACTGCATGCTCAATAGACATCGAATCTGTGTGTTACTCATCAAATCGCTTGTTTGTGAATTCTGAAATGAAGTAACTAAGTGGCTAGAGTGCGTACTAGAAAACTGTAGAGTACTGATAAAGAGGCGGCAAAGATACCTAGGTTTACATTTAACATTTTGATAAGACAGAAAAGGAATACAGTAAATATCTGAATAACTGAATAATACATAGAATAGGGAGAGGGTTCCTCTAACGCACAACTGGAAAGTACATTGAGGTCACATTTAATATATAGATAAGAAATTATATATCAGACTGGATAAGACATAGCATAGGAATAGAGTAAGTATCAGACTTTATAAGACATAGGACAGGGATAAAGTTAATGTCAGATTATATACAACATAAGTTAGGGATAGGGTTACTAAATGCGACCCGTAGAAAATACATTATATCTTGTATGATAATACTTTATATATGGTATCTTCTAAATCACATTCGCATTTAAAACCGTAAGAGTGCATTTTTGTAGTTTTTTAGTCTGCAGTCTGTATAATCTATAATGATACCTCTTGCTTTCTCTTCTATTTAAAGTGAATATTAACCGACAATTTTTTCTTGAATTGCACTTAAATGTCTTAAGTCCTGAAGAAAACTAGAAACTAATTGTGCAATTAAATCTGTTTATGCGTAGGTATGGAGTTGACCCATAATTACGCATTCTTCCACGTGTATAACAATATGTGGCGAATTTCCATATGCGTCAGGAGTGTCACGTCCTGCTGTTTAATTCATTTCCATTACGAATTTCGCATTAAACAACTCGGTAGAGCGGTGCTTTAACTTTATTGATAAAAGTTATATGGAAAAGCGATTTTACCTTTAAAAGGATTTCAACTTACATGCAACAATACACAAACGCTCAGGACATTAGCGAAGTGAACGTTGCGCCGTGGCGCGCCTCATACGCTCTGCTTAAATGCACGGGCTCCGTGTTCCCGTATCTCCCGTATCTTCCGTATCTGCGAGAGTGCATTACTACTTTTATGAGCCGTGCTGACCCTATTCAAAAAACCGATTTATCTTAATAAACGCACATAAAATGCTTTTTTATCCGTATCTCTGTAGCATGAAACAAACTATGAAATAATTTACGTTCCTTTGTGTTTGGCGTTCTTTTTCGATTTACTCGCATTCAGCCATTTTATTTTTGGATTGGATTTTTGTTTTTCTATTTACAAGCAATTTTCCATTTATAAAATGTTTTCTGCTCATTTTATTCCAATTTATTTTACTTGATTTTATTTTATTCCATTTTTTTTCTTCTTTCCTTACGCTTACGTAAACTAGATTGCGTGGTTACGTGTCGATACGCAAACTATTTTAACGATACAAAATCACGTAATAACCAAAAACCATCGAATGAGCATAACTCACGCTGAAAAACGTGCCTGGATATTGAGGATTCGTGATGTTAAGGAATCGGATAAGGGCTGGTATATGTGTCAGATAAATACGGATCCAATGAAGAGCCAAGTTGGATATTTGGATGTTGTTGGTGAGTTAAAGAATTTTTCGTTTATGAAAATAAATAGCTTATTTAACGATTTTAGCACAATATGTACGTTTATATATGTATTCCTGTGTATGTATGTATATACTGGCATGAATAGGTAAATCATTTCAATGTATTTAAAATTTATAAAATATTTACGAATATTATTAAAAATATTTTAATACGAAGCAAGCATGAAATTCCAATAAAATATTCAGCATTTCAATATAAATATATTATTAATAATTGCGTAAAAAATGCGAAAATTTTAAAGGTGATTGGATCATTTAATAAACCTTGAAAAGTTTCAAATTGAGGTGAATTTGAATTTTATGAATACGGATCCACAACTGAAATTTAGAGTATGTCCAACAACTTAGCCAAAAATTAAGAAAAAAAATTGACTTTCACAAAAATTGCCTTTCCATTTGCATAAATATTAGCCCAGAAAAGAACGATGTCAACGATCAATTTTGAACAATTTTGAATCATTTTGAACAATTTTCAAACCATGAAAACGATATACGGTCTATAATGTCGCTTTCGATTGGCAATTCTAGACTTCAGGGTAATTCCAAAATTATTTGGTAGCTATACAAAAGTTGACAATCTAAATTAATCTCGAATGTTGTAGATTTAACTAATCGAAAATGAAACTGTAGTAAAAGTAGATCTGGGAGAAAAAGTTATCCTAAAAAATTTTGAATTTACGAATACAAAAGTGATTCTTGGCTAGTTTTGCAATATAACAGGCAAAATCTAAATCTAAATTCAAGCCGTATACATCTTCTCACTTTTTATTCATAAGACGAAAAGATGCTTCTCACTTATCAATAAATCTAATATCAATTAGTTAATACCTTCTCACTTTCCTTGCTAATACCCCAAAAATATGAATAAATTTCAATGAAACACATAATCGTCTATACACAGTTGAGTTTATCAGTTGTGGTTGTATTTTCCAATTTTCATGACATATGGAGGGATAGAAGTGGAGTTAAGGCGTCTGGCACAATCTGTCTTTCGTTATGACTACACAAGCGTTACACATGGTTCCTACCTTCACAAAACGCTCTTAATAACGCATGTGAATACCAATAGATGCCCCGTCACAAATATTTTATTTCCTTCAGAACATTCATTTTAAAATTGAAAACGCGTATAAGGTGCGAAAGACCTGCTTCATATTAAAGCTTAAAATTCCCCATCAGTTATTTTAACAAATCTACTTTCGAGTGCTCTACGATGACACAAAGCTGTCTTTTTCTTTGCGTGAACTCAACGAATATGATTACTGACATGGTCACATGCCATTTTTTTTGCACTTGAAGCTAAAATTACAACTTTGACGGAGGTATTTTAAATCGATTTTGACGTGATATGCAAAAAAGACATCGCTGAAACTTAGTTAAAGGTTATATCGGCACTTTATAATGAATCTACGAAAAACATATGACCGATGGGGTTAAGCGCCGACTTAGTTGTATTACACTCAGTGGAATCCACTTTAAAGACGAATATATAAATTTTATATAGTTAATATTTTATCATGTTTTTTTTTAATAATATTGATTATTTTGTGCACTGGATATATGTGGACCTTCATAAAACTCCCGAACTGTTCACGCAAAATGCGCCAAGGTATTTTTTTTAAGACGGTCAGTCCAAATTTCATGAATTTCAATAACGATTTTGGCTGAACTGCATTGAGTCACGTATAGTTTTGATGAAATGTGCAGTGATCATGGATTTCAGAAGCCATGTTGTTCACCGTGTATGATCTCGTCCTTAATCGTCCTTAAACCTTGTCGTATTATCAACAGTAATTGCAGTGAACTTAGTTTATCAGATGAGACAGAGACAGACAAAGCCATTAACCTTTTGTTGATCGCTGAGATCACCGTTATATTCGTTTGTTCGTTGCTTATTTATGTACCTATTGCCACTTTAAATGTCCATTTGTGTACTACACGACCTCAATTCAAATATCTATTTTTATAAGGTCCTTTTTACAGTATTTGTATTTTAATCTGATCGTTATCAAATTCAACCTTTTCATGGAAATTATACTTATTGTTATCACAACTTAAAATCATTAAGAAATAGTGTCACTGAACTACTTTCACTAGAGGTAAGTAGTGTAGCAAGGAAACAACAGGATGCATTAAAGATTTAAAGCAATTCCGCTGAATTAATTTTTAAAACTCGAAAAACAACATTGCAGTGAAAACAACACACAAGTTGTTCCAATTACAATTTACAAGTTACGGAATTGGCTCACCACTTTCGGACGAAAGACGACGGACGACGGCCGAAGGACGATTTTTCGAATTCACCTGTCGTTGCCACTTTCAATTCCACATTGAGACTAAAGAAAAAAATTCGTAAATACTTTTAAGTTTTAAGTTTAGTGATGCAATGTTGCAGTGTAACAGTGCTGCACTATTGCAATGCTGGACTGCAACGAGCTTATGTACATACACCAATTACACATAATCAACCGACCTCATCCTTCTTCCGCGTAGCAGACGGAAGCCTCCTGCTGCCGGCAAGCGCGACGAGAAACTCTTCGCAGGTGCTTTCGTCCTTTGCATCAGTTTTCACTTTTGATTAGTTCGCTAGTGTTTGGTGTTGAAGTTGCCAGAGCTGCGAGAGTTGCTTTACCTACAAACTTAAATTTCGAATTGAATCAGAAGTTTGTAGTTCCACTTCTTCTATGTTTTTATTACTGTGGCTCTTTTTGTTGTTGTTGTAGTTGTTGTAGTTGTTGTTGTTATTGTTATAGAGAAAGTAAACTTTTTGGCAGCATTTGTGTTGCCAATTAGTTTTAATTTATCTGAAGTGATTAATGAGCTTGCTTTTCTAATGAATTCGACTATGTTAAACTGTGGCGGACTTCTGTCAATGAGGCATTATATATGACCATTGCTCATAAATTATTCTCTTTATTGTATATGTTGATGTATAAAGATAACAACAAAACTACTTAAGCAAGCTTAATTTAAGTTCTTAGTTCATATTATATATACAATACAGGCATATGTATGTCTTAAGTCAATATACAATTTAGCTACAGCTTTCAAGCAGCTCTCTCAATCATTAAAAGGCTTTCTCTCACATATATCTATAGCAGCCGAAAGTAAAAGAATTGATTGAAACGAAAAATCAAACAAATCTTGTTCTTTTGTTGTGGAAAAATAGAACAACAAAACATTTTCTTTTACAAATACTTAATTAAAAAGTTTCCCCTCAAAAGCTGTTAAAAGATTGGACACTTTCAGTCCAAAAAATTCCAAAATTTGTAAAATGGCTTCGACTTGTACATGATTTTAGTTATCTCAAAGTTTCTTACTCGGAAGGAACGATATATAGTGTAAAAGGAACTGCAGCTATAAAATTTCAAGGTCAATAGCAATCCTACAATCTTAACAGATGAAATCCTGTCATTAATGGACGAAAGAAATCGGTATAAAAATATAAGGAAATACACAGATCTTTACGTGTTCTTATTAGAAAAGCAAAAGAAGAGTTTCACAAAAAGGAATGTGAGGAGATAGAGGGATATCAAAGAAGATACGATTTATTTAACTTGCACAAGAAAATTAGAAATATGACGACATCTAATAGGAGAAAGAGAAGCACACTTATGGATAACGAATGTAAATACATAACAGAAAAAGACGAAACATTTCGCATGTAGGACAGCTATATTCAAACTCGATTTGCGAGCAACCGATCATTTGTGACACCCGATCTAAGAGCTGATTCAGGTCCGCATATAACCTTGGATGAAGTGCAAAAAGCAATTGATGGTGCAAATACAAAAAACGGTGGTTTCTGACCAAATACCAACAGAATTGGTGAAGTTATTTAAAGATAATGGCATACGTAATTTAACAACATTTTTTAATAAAATTTATAATACAGGTCAGACACCAAAAATACAGATGGCTTCAATCTACGTTTATTATGACTCCAAAGAAAGCAGCACCAAAAACATGCAGATTTTAAAATAGTCAGCTTGATGATGTTAAAGATATTCCTCCGAATTATACATAACAGAATTTATCCAAAACTCGAGGGACAAATAAGTAGAAGTAGAAATAAAGCGCGGGGTTCGCCAAGGGTGCATTCTGGCACCATTACTGTTCAATATATACTCGGAGAGATTTTTTCAAAGAAGCACTACACGATGCGGCAGATGAAATTATGGATAACAAGGTACTTATCAACAATTTGACGTACGCCAAAGATACAGTACTTTTTTCCGACTCAGTAGAGAGCTTACAGAACCTTTTAGACGCTGTTGCATTAAAGTACAGAGAATAAAGCTTAAAATTAAATTGCAGTAAAATCCAATATATGGTGGTAAGCAAACGATCTATTTCTGGAAGAAAATTGACCGTATTTGGTTCAGCCATAAAAAGAACCGATAAGTACAACTACTTGGGATGTCAGCTTAATGAGCAATGGGATAATAGTAAAGAAATATGTGTCCGAATTTAAAAAGCAAGGTCTATCAGCTGTTATTACCGCTCAGAATAAGAATTCTGCGATGCTATATATTCTCTATACTCTATACGATGAATCAGCTCGAGGCTTTTGATATGTGGTGCTATCAACGTGTGCTGAAAATAAGCTAAACAAAAAAATTTCAAATACAGTGGTACTTCGAGGTGTCATCAAAGAGATAAAAATATTAGAGACAGTAAAACGCCGTAAGCTGGAGTTTTTTGGTCATATTCTGAGGCATCCGGAAAAGTACGAACTACTGAAATTAACCGTGACCTTCATGGCTGAAGAATTTACGTCAGTGGTTCAATAAAAGTACAAGATCACTTTTTCGAGAGGCTGTAGATAAAGTCAAAATCGCAATCATGTTAGTCAACGTTCGAAGCGGACAAGGCACCTAGAAGAAGAAGAAGGAGTAATCTTACAAACTTTATATTTTAGGTCGTATATGCCATTTGAAACCTTCTAAAGCAAACAGCTGATTCTGTTTA